ATAGAGTTTTGAGTAGGCTCTGAGCTGTGTGCCAATACAGAGGCCTGGTATAGACTTGAGAACCCTGAGCTGTGTGCTGATACAGGGAGATTTATATATTGGACTTTTATTTTATTTTATTTTATCTTATATATTTTATTGGACACAACCTGAGCTGTAATTGAATTTACACACTTGCAATAGAAATGCCATAACTATCAACAAAGCTTTTTACATATTCATAGCATAGTGAACACTGTTGCAGATCACAAAAAAATGATCAACATAACATATGTTATGGTTAGAGTTTGGATCCGGTTTTGCCCAAACTGGTTTGAACCCGTAAACTGGTTTGAAAACAGATAACCGGTTCTTAAAAAAAAAGAGGGTTGAATCTGGGTTGAATCCGGTTTCTATTAAATATTAATATGTAATTCAAAAAAAAATATATTTTAATAAAAAAACGATTTCAAAATGTCTGATAATAATGATGATAGTATTAATAGTAATAATAATGAAGTGATTTATGTTGTGAGTAAGTATAATTAATGAATGACCTTTTAACAATAATTCATACATGTTATGTTAATAATATTCATTCTTTGCTGCAGATAATGCAGATTCATCTTCAAATATATCTAGAATAAATAAAGAGAAAAGAAAAAATTATAGTTTTACTAATGATTATTTTGAAAAAGCTTTTGATCCTACAACTGGTGAAGAATTGCGCATTTGTAACATTTTGGATAAAAATAGGAGGTGTTGTAAAAAAACATATAAAAGTTTTGGATATTCTACTGGAAACTTGAAAAGACATTTAGATGAAGTGCATGGTATCAATGAAGTAGAAATAGTTGGTGAAAGAAAAAAGGTAAGAATATATGTCATCTCATATTTAATATTTTTAATTAAATTAATATTTTGATTAATTTGATTAAATTAATATTTTTAATCTTTTAATTAAAATATACAGTGTGGGACAAAAAATTTTGCCTTCGGTAATATTACAATAACTTTACAACAGTGTTGGAAATTCGTCGATCTTATGATCTGCAAAAAAAAATTTGTGCACATATGAACACAAGAAATTTTTATT